GGGGGGGGGGGGGGGGGGGGGGGGGGGGGGTGATCCACGATCCACCCTGATCCACGATCCACCTGGCGCAGGATTGGTACTTCATATCTACTGTCTACTAAAGTGTATTAGTCTAATATCTATTTAACGGGTTTAGTGACTTCACTCTATCATCTCAATACTGTACTATCGTCAGTAACACATGTATTTGTTCTTTCAGACGGCACATTGCTACATCCATGCAGCAGCTCTAGTGGCTGAATACCTCAAGCGGCAAGGTAACCTTCAAAACCTACACACAAACAAAACAGACGTAATTGTTTTTGATAAAGAGCGTTTTCACTCACGTCACAAGGCAGCTAGATTGGTGTACCAATTCCCGGAGGATAGAAAATGTGACATCACGTTAAAACGCTCTATACACGATGAATAAATAAAGAGTGTCACATGTTAAGAGCTTGATATCGTTTTTATTCACGAGTTTCCATATGATACCGCGAACGAGCGAGTCCGCGAGCGAGTGACATATAATATGGAAACGATTCAATAAAAACGACGTCAGGCTGTTAACATGTGCCAATTTGCTTATTACACACTTAGGCTCGATACAATAACTCAATTTACAGTTTACTTTGGTACTGTAAAGTGATATCGTTGCCCTTCGCTGATATGAATTCTTCTCTCTAATCCATGTAGCCTTAGCTTTTACACATTGTAATCACAGGAATCTATCCAGAAGGCTGTGCAGCTTTCCACAGGATTTCGCCTAATGTTGTCCCAGACGAGAGCATGATGAAGACTGACGAGAGTATGGCTATGGAGCAGCGATTCACTTTGGTACGTAATACACTAAAACCTCTGTAAACCGTAGGTTTCCATTTCTCATGAGATTGCAATTCTTTCCTTTTGTCCTCCACATTAATCTACTTTTACGTCAGGGGTCTATTCCCTGAAGGTGGCCGCTTAATAGCAGTTGGAATATACTCTAGTTAATAACAATATTTCTGTGAACAAACCCTTTTCTAGAGGCCTAGTTGCAACGATTGTAGGAACCTTTTATCGTATCTATTTTCCATTAAAAGGTCTCGACAAATCAAACCAATTCTTATCCCCTTTATTGAAGTGATTTCGTGCTCACCTAACGATCAGCTGTGGGCGTCTGAACTGTTCTGATATCTTTGTTTCTGGTTCCTATAGAAACACCTGGTCGAGTTTCTTGAGAAGAGCGCGATGTTCCTTGAGCGAGCAGAACGATATGAGGTGATGGGGGAAGTTTACAAGCTAGCCATACCAATCTACGAACAGGAGAGAGATTTTGCGGTAAGAACTGATCTGGCTTGTTAGCAGGGTAGGGATCATTGCTTACAGCTCCTTTTCAATTTTTTTTTTTATTCATCTAAAACTTGGGGAGTTCTCTTTGACGATATTTCGTTGCCGCAATATGTTTCAGGTTTTTGAACGACCTTCAAAACCCACAACATTGTTGCCAACAATTTGTGTTGCCGCGCGCGCCGCCAACGTTTCGCGAGGCCAGCTTTTAACGCAAAAATTTTCGCTAAAAATCGTCTCCTGTATTATCACCTTAATCTGAAAATTATCCATGTTCATATAGGGCTTAGCAAGTGCCTACGATAACCTGTCCAAGGCCTATCGCAAGGTAGTAGATGTGATGGCAAGTGGAAAAAGAATGCTTGGCAAATACTTCAGAGTCGCTTTCTTCGGCAAGGTAAATTGTTTATTAAAAATAACGCTTCAAAAATAACTTTCTCTTACGCGCAATTTAATTCCTTCATTGCGCCATAAAAATACAAACAGGGTTTTGAGATATTTCCGTGCTGAACAAAGTCATACCACAACTGCGTAACTCCCACTTCACAGTCTCCTTTGATATGCAAGGTGATTTGACATGACTTTCTGGTATTCATTTATCGTGCAAAGCTATTTTGTCACGCGTGAGTCTTGTACCAGCTATTTATAACATTGGATTTGCGTTCACCCCTTCATGTCATACACCGTTCTTATAATGACTGACAAGTGCACGAAAACGAGGTCACTCAATCACTAGTTTACAATAAAAGATATAGAAGCACATTAAATGCCTTTATAGAAAAAAATTATCGAAATTGACCTTTTGTTTTGACCTGAATTCGCGCTATCCACCTTTATTTTGATTGAGCAGCCTTGCTAAGCCTTGCAAGATGACCGGGTGACCTCACTTTCGTGCGCTCGTCAGCCATTATGAGAAGGGTGTATTGGTATTATAAAAAAGAGACCTCCGAAAAGCGCCCGCAAGCACATAGAAACACCCGGCATCAATGAAATTTAATATGGCCACTCTTCCAACGACAACTTCGTTATGACGCCTTGATAAATTTCGAAAAGGAAAACGCCTGACGTCGAACTGAAGTTTGAGGTTTGCGGGGCTAGCAAGAACGTCGTGCTAAAGGTCTCTTAGCGCTGTTGACTTAGCCGTCGTAGGAATCATGTGAATGTGAATCATGTGAATGGTTACTCCATGCCTAACTGTTTGATATATCAGGTATTTGGCGATGATGATGGCAAGGAGTACATCTACAAGGAGCCTAAGGTGACATCTCTCCCAGAGATATCAGATCGTCTGCAAGAAATGTACACGGCGAAATATAGAGATAACAAGATCAAGCTGATTCACGACTCTGCCAAGGTAAGGGAAGGGGTAGCCTCCTACACATCAGACGTTCTTAGGGTCGTCACGCAAGGTAGAGAAATGTTGCGTGACGACTACCCTAAGAACGTCTAGCCTGGCCTCCTTAGGTCGTCACGCAAAGTAGAGAAATGATGCGTGACGACTACCCTAAGAACGTCTGGCCTCCTTAGGGTCGTCACGCAAGGTAGAGGAATTTTGCCTGACGACCTGACAACCATAAGAACATCTGCGTAAGAGGCTGTCGAGGGCATGTTATGCGAAGGTCCCTTTATTTCATCAACACGGCGTTTGCCCATGAGTTTTTGTTCCCATTTAACAGACCTAATCACTGCTTTCCAACTTCAGACCATATGTCATTCCCTTGCGTATGATTCCTTGTTGATCTAGTGTTTCAATAGTTACTTCACAGTATGGTTTAGTTTAACTTGATGTTGTTCGTTATTGTTTTCAGGTTCATTCTGATAATCTGGATTCTAATTTTGGTCACATACAGGTAAAATAGTTTTATGTTCAAAGAAAACCGTGTCAATTGATAAATAATGCCAAATATTCGTCCTGCTTGAAATAACTGATTCAGTACATGATCGAATTTCGCAGATTACGTACGTTAACCCGTATTTCGATGACGACGAGAAGAAGTCAAGACCCACTCCCTTTGAACAAAGTAACAACATTCGACGGTTCATTTACGAGACACCATTCACAGCCAGTGGTAAAGCTCATGGGAACCTGAATGAACAGTGCAAGAGAAAAACTATATTGACGAGTAAGTCCTGCATTTCCGCTCTACGTTTAAAGCTTGATTATTTGCACATCAGCATGCGTGTATTAAGAAGAATTAATTATCAAACGTCAAAAAAGCGATATCTAATAAAAATAACCGCATCAAAAAACATCCATTTTATAATGTGACATGAAAAATGTGCACAACATTGCTTGTCACTTAAGATCCAATGACGAAACTTTGCCCGTCAACAAACGTTGTTCATTAAAATGCGCGCAAACATTACCCCATGTTGCGCATATGTGAAGTTAGAACAAGAACGTACTTCGCTTAGATGGAATACACTCAACAACAAGTTGCAGAGTTATTTATATAAACACAGACATTCATACCAGCATTAGTTTAGCAAACAACTTGCTGTGATGTACCATTCATAGTAATAGACGTGACACAATCACTTGGGACTCTCTTTATAAAAAGGTTTTAACATACTGTACATGTGTATTGTTTCAGCGTCAAATACATTCCCTTACGTGAAGAAGAGAATTCTTGTGGTACAGGAAGAGCAATACGAGTTGACACCTGTTGAGGTATGTTTGCATGTCTATTAATTAGCTCTCTCACCCTCTATTAATAGAAACTATACCATGTATGCAGTAATATGCAGTTCATTATTTGCTCCATATTGGAAACCCAAGCAGTAGTGCTTGTGTGAAGCATGATGGAAGAGCCCTTCATGTGGATGGGTGTAATGGTGATGAGCATCAAAGATAATGATGAGGATGATGATGGTAGTACTGATGATGATGATGACCGTGCTGCTGAGGATGATGATGGTAGTGCTGATGATGATGATGATGGTAGTGCTGATGATGAGGATGATGACAGTGCTGATGATGATGATGGTAGTGCTGATGATGATGATGGTAGTGCTGCTGCTGATGATGATAATGATGTGTAATCCCACCAGTAAGCCAACATACTAATCAAGTATTTTCTATTTGTAGGTGGCATTTGATGAGATGCAAAACAAAGTAAGAGAACTGGAACAAGTGACGTCACAAACACCTCCAGACATGAAAAGACTACAATTGGTCTTACAAGGAAGTGTCAGCGTACAGGTAATACAAATAGATATTTATTTAGTGTCTAGTCATTCTAGCACTTTTGCACTCAATGGGGACTCTTTTTCACTCACACACACTTTACCACTACATTAAATGTTCTATGCACACGATGCTCAACTCACTGTTGATTTTTACGGAGGGAGGAAACCAGAGAACCTGGAGTGAAAACCCTTGTGGCAAGGGAGAGAACAACGCATCAAACAAGCTCGATTCACATATGGCAACCACATGGCTCAGAGCAGTGACCCAATTCTTTGGAACCAAAGACAATGTATTAGCAGCATACGCCACACATCCTACCCCAATATTAAATAGGTTTTGTTCTGGTGTGGAATATTTACCAGTTGAATTGGATTATCTGTAGATACCATCTCAAAAGGCTGGCAATGAGATTGATATCGTGTTTCATGCTGATTGTCCTTCTGTGTTTTCCAGGTTAATGCTGGTCCTTTAGCCTACGCAAAGACCTTTTTAGAAATGTCTGTTTTGCATAATTACCCGGCCAAGCATATCGAAAGATTACAACATGTATATAAGTAAGTAGGAACATCCTTATACCTAGATAACTAGTAAGCATATCATTTTATGACATTTTCATATTCGGTAATGAAAGGCTTTAGTTTGATGTTGTGCAGCTTTCCCTCTGATCAACGAAAATTAAGGCATCATACCCTGCCTAGTGCGTGCTACTCCCTGCCTAGTGGGTACCAC